TCCGAAGAGTTGTTAGTGAGAAAAGTGTGGAAATGATTGACTGATGGATTCATTTGTGGTGATGTCGTGAAGACGTGCTCACAATCACAACAAACGTATGCATTGAATGTGTGTTGCAGTCAATAGTCGTCACTACGAGTCACACCTTATGTGCTGACAATCCCTTTAAAGTTTAAACTCCAAACACATTGCAGTGGACTGTATGGGAAAGGGTAGACCGGTCTACCAAACTCAATGGACCTGTCTCATTCTCACTATACAGTATTATGTAACCAATAGGCGCCTCCCAGTCGCCTCCACCCCCAACCCACACACTATTTTGTTTACTAATAATCAGTTTGCAAATTGTTATAAAAGTTTTATAATATTTGAAAAGTGATGGAAAGACATAGATTTGTATTGAATAGAGATAATAGTATTACTGTAATAATTAGAGCTATATTTTACTGATTAACTCATTAATTATAGTGTATTGAAAGTAATCAAAACTTTGTTCACATCCCAATCATAGACCACTACTTTATATAATTGACTACAACTGTAAACAGTGTAAGTCTACTAAACATTGTAAACTAAATTGATTTGATGACAAAATTCTTGTCTATTGTATTGAATCATTGATTTTGTGCACAAATACAATTAGATTGAAAACTAATGGCAACTAAAAGTTTGTTTAAGAAATCCAAAAAAACTAAACCAAAGATAATTGATTTGACTGAAAATGAAGACAATAATAGAAGTGCTGAAGATCTGGAAAACAGACCTTTAATAAGTGCCAACGAATTTAATAATGATGGTAAATTTGACTATTTACTTATAACTTATGTTTCACTAAAAGTTTATTTTCCAAAACCTTAATAGTATTTCTTAATATAATTATATATGAATAGAGTGTAACTGTAATCTCATTTCATTGATTCAGACATAAATTATTGCTAAATATGGTAATTATAATAATTATAAAATTTTATTTGATTATAAATTCATATGAACTTTTAAATGTTATAAAGGATGCAAATGTCAACAATTTTCTATATATTACCGGTATTTAGAAACAAGTCGGGAAACTATCGTAAACATGAATCCTTCGGCGCCTCCTGAAGAAGAATACCGACCGACGGGTTTGGCCGACGATAAGACCCGAAGACTATTCGTTCAGAAAGTCTATGCAATTCTTTGCGCACAGAAGACACTGTTCTGTATTCTTATAGCACTTTTCACATACATGTAAATCAATCTGACTTTTATATCAAAACTATTTGAAATAAGTTAATACTTGATATGATTATAGACCACACCTGAGGAAAATATTCCGCAAATGGATTTTTGATCCAATGTTCTACACCTCAATCATTGGGTAATTAAATAGCATAGAGTACTGTAAACCTTAGATCTAATTGATGACAATGAACGCAAAATAGGGTCCCGTTGTGTCTGTTCTTCGGTTTACTGGTTATCTCTCCATCCGTTAGAAGAAAGTTTGCCTTCACTACGCTTATTATCATTGTTAGTATTTGTCATATTATTGTTGTTTATTAAGACTAAGATTATTTCAATTCATTTATAGACGACATCTCTAAGTCTGTTAATAAGTTATGCTATCACTCAGAGTACCGCCAAAGCCTTTCTATATTCTATGGGTTTTAGTAATATCTGTGATATCGGAGTAATTTTGGGATCCAAGAGTCGCTTGGATTTCACGAAATGGCGGTATATATCATTAATTCCATTGACAATGATTGTGTCCAGTGTCTTTGCGCCCACTCTCCTCCACACATCTCTTAATAATACCATTTGGCCCTCAATTATCATGACTTCTGCGTCCACTTATTTGGCAGGGAATACCGTTCCCGTCATTCGGCACAATGATCTCCGTTTGGAACCAAACGAATATGTCTTCGCCGTCTCTATCTAATTGATGACAATGAACGCAAAATAGGGTCCCGTTGTGTCTGTTCTTCGGTTTACTGGTTATCTCTCCATCCGTTAGAAGAAAGTTTGCCTTCACTACGCTTATTATCATTGTTAGTATTTGTAATATTGTTGTTGTTTATTAAGACTAAGATTATTTCAATTCATTTATAGACGGCATCTCTAAGTCTGCTAATAAGTTATGCTATCACTCAGAGTACCGCCAAAGCCTTTCTATATTCTATGGGTTTTAGTAATATCTGTGATATCGGAGTCATTTTGGGATCAAAGAGTCGCTTGGATTTCACGAAATGGCGGTATATATCATTAATTCCATTGACAATGATTGTGTCCAGTGTCTTTGCGCCCACTCTCCTCCACACATCAATTAATAATACCATTTGGCCCTCAATTATCATGACTTCTGCGTCCACTTATTTGGCAGGGAATACCGTTCCCGTCATTCGGCACAATGATCTCCGTTTGGAACCAAACGAATATGTCTTCGCCGTCTC